TTCCACGTCAGTCATAAGATCTCAAGTTATTTCGATATGAGTGGAATTTGACAGATATTTGAAAAATAATTATGTTTTCAATTAGGCATTTTCTCAGATTCAATGATTCATTATTGCAAATTAGATATTAGCACTGTACCTCAAGTAAGACAGATAGATGAGTCAATTCTTTAGATCAGAAGTTAGAACACAGGAGTACAGTGACTTTCTGCACTATGAAACTGACCTAATCTTCAGAAAAGTAATATCCAGTGAAATAATCCACCTCCACATAAATTAAAACAACATTCTCTAACGTGCAAAAGTATCTAATACTTAAAGAGGTCACAATGGCTAGGTCTCAGCCAACTGATGTAATACAGAGTTGAAACACGAGAGGGCAACGAAGATTAAAAAAAAAAAAAAAAAGTTGGATCCCACAACCTAAGGTTCCTGGAAATAGCTGCACATTTTCAAATTATAAACATCTGTTACACGAAAAAAAGACATTGTGATTACTTGAGAATAAAATTTTAGATAGCTGACCTGTCAGAAAGAATAGAAAGATTACCACCTAACATTTTCTGGCCGCCACAGGTTCCATCAGCTTTGGAAAAGGTAAGTATTTACTCGGAGACACCTATGGGTAGACAACTATGGCAACAACTAAGAAACCCTGATGTACTTAGGCGTTATTAGACTGTTCCTCACTAAGACTGAGCATTAATGTAACTGAATGTTTAAACACAAAGTATACAGGGGCGCCTGGGTGGCTCAGTGGGTTAAAGCCTCTGCCTTCGGCTCAGGTCATGATCTCAGGGTCCTGGGATCGAGCCCCACATCGGGCTCTCTGCTTGGCGGGGAGCCTGCTTCCCCCCCCCCCTCTCTGCCTGCCTCTCTGCCTACTTGTGATCTCTGTCAAATAAATAAATACATCTTTAAAAAATAAATAAACACAAAGTATATAAAGATGAACTTCATGTCTGTCATGTGCTGCAAAGCTGAAATTCACCCTCTTTAGCCACGACCCAAACCCATACAACTGAACGTTACTGGAACAGTGATAAAGGACCTTTCCTTATTTCTCTCTCCCATCATTTTTTTTAATACCTAAACTGGGATTTTAAAAAGAAGTGACAAAAAGGAAACTGTTGTTATTCTGTAAATAAGAAACCTTTCTTTCTCAAAAGACTTTTCTTATAAAAACCGAGTTGTAATATTAAAACAAGGAACGGCAGGTACTCATGCTACACTATCAGAGTACACTGCACAGTTAGAGAAGGAAAAAAAAAATGACACATTCCTCCACAGATCAAATTGATTTTAAAGTTCTTCTATGATAAAAATGATACAAACTGAGACCAATTTCTTCATGATGCAGGAACCAAGTACTATCAATAAATCAAGTGCCTGTGGCAAATTGGTACACTAAAAAACTTGCTTTTAAATCTTGTGGAGTACAAATGCACACACAAAGAACGTGTCACGCCTCTCTTATCTCTGGACTAAACATGAGAATACAATGATTTTGAACTTTTAAATACCTGAGTCAGTCACTGGAGGCACTGAAAATGAGCAACACAAAGTATTTAAAAAGTACTTTTAAATTAAAATAGCTTAACGAGAGGTCTAACTTCAATCCACCAACCTTTTACTAAAGTCTGATTTTTTTCCCCCTAACCTGAAAACTGTAATCCAACTCACTGGTATTCTAAAATGTGCCTATCTCCCCAAACTGGGAGGCTATATAAATATGTAGTATATATATATTATTTATATACAAGTATATAAATATGTACTATCAACAAAAGATGCTCAAATATCAATTACTGCTCTGCATCGTACTGCAAAGCTTTGCTACATTAAGAGTTTTTAAAAACTAACTTGTGGGGGCGCCTGGGTGGCTCCGTGGGTTAAAGCCTCTGCCTTTGGGTCAGGTCATGATCCCAAGGTCCTGGGATCGAGCCTCGCATCAGGCTCTCTGCTGAGCAGGGAGCCTGCTTCCCTTTGTCTCTCTACCTGCCTCTCTGCCTGCTTGTGATCTCTGTCAAATGAATAAATAAAATCTTAAAAAACAAAACAAAACACAAAAAAACACTAACTTTTGCTAGAGATTATTAGGAGACCTGGAGTGAGGGGGTTACAGGTTTTTGTTTTGTTTGTTTTTTTAAGAAGAAAGAAACTGGCTCAAAAGGCCCGGAGAAGTCAAGGATCGCTGTCCCGCACAGAGCACAGTCCCGCGCAGAGCACAGTCCGCCCCAATTCCCGCAAGGAAGCATTAACAGAGAGTAATCAGAAAGGAGTGTAATGTTTTGCCCACTCCCAGCATTGGCCCCTAAGTCATCTCCTACCCTAACTATCTCTAACTAACCTCTGACTTCCTCATTATTGCAGCACTGCCACTTAAAGATGCTGGGTCTTAGATTCTCAGATGCCCTGCATGGACAGCTACGGGGGCAACACCAAAGATTCTCACCATCCTCAAGTTCTAGAGCCGTGAGCTGCTCCAGAAACAATTAAACTCCTCTTTTCTGCAGAATCCACCATCCTCAGAGCTTTTATTCCTACATCTGTAAAATAAATACGCTTCTACTTGTGCCACATGCTACAGTGGTAGCACACTCATTATTGGGTGCTATTTCTTATACAGGCATACCTCAGTGATACTCTGAGTACAGCACTAGACCACTGCAATAAAGAATCACAATAAAACCAGTCAAATGAATTTTTTGGTTTCCCAGTGCACATGTAAGTTATGTTCACGTTATATCATAGCCTATTAACTGTGCAATGGTATTATGTCTAAAAAAACAATGTACTAGGGCACCTGGGTGGTTCAGTTAAGCTTCCAACTCTCTTGCTTTTGGCTCAGGTCATGATCTCAGGGTTATGAGACAGTGCTCCACATCAGGCTCTCTGTTGGACGTGGAGCCTAAGAGTCTCTCTCTCCCTCTCAAAAAAAAGGAACAATGTGCATACTTTAATTAAAAAATACCTTACCCAAAAAATGCTTATCATCATCTGAGCTTTTAAGTCATATTCACTGATTATAGATCACCAAAACAAGTATAATAATGAAAAAGCTTGAAATATTGTGAGAATTACCAAAAAGTGACACAAAGACACAAAGTGAGCAAATGCTGTTGGAAAATGGTGCCAATGGACTTGCCCAACACAAGGATGCCACAAACCTTCAATGTGTAAAAACACGCACAAAACACACACACACACAAAAACCACAGTATCTTTGAAGTGCCATAAAACAAAGCATGCCTGTACTGTAATTTAATTTGCCACTGCTAATAATTACTTCTTCAAATCAGCAGAATTGTCCCTAAGGTCAGAGACTATTTTCTTCACAGCACTTCACAACACTAATCACAGTCCCTTCCACAACACGCATGCTCAAAAAGTATTTGATTAACTGATGAACCTCGTCATTTCCTATGATATGCTATCAACCAAAGTGTACATTTAATTCCAGCCTCTGTACGGTTTTAAGCAAGGTACATGGCAGTCTGTCATCTAGAAGATAAGGGTATTGTATTTAAATGACCCCTAAGTCCCTTCCAGTGCCATTAGTGAATCTCATTAGACAAAATCAAGCCCCAAAGAGAGCACCACCTCCATTCAGGTCAGCATTCAACTTTTTTGTGGGGGGAGGCAAGGGGTCAGTAGCCTTGTGGGCCCAATCACCACCAGGGGAGCTATGATGTGGGGATGGGGGTGTGGGCGGGGTGGAGGAGAGAAAGTAAATGAAGGAGTAAGAGAAAACAAACATGAGCCCTATCACTAAAATGCCACCAGGTGTCACAATGGTTACTATGTCACATACTGTTCTCTGATAAAGTTTGGTATGCCCAGGAGCCTTTCACAAAAGCAGCTACAGCCAGATGTGTGGGTATCTAAGTTTTCCCAGGACAGCCCTACTAGTCTTTCTAGTTCCAGGCACACTTTTATTGACCTTCCTGAGTAGGTCATGCATCCTATGTAGAAATATGGAAAGCATTCATTATTCGGTCTTATGTTCTAAAATAACAACTCCTGGGGTCCCCAAATTTCCACATGGAAAACAGCAAAGTAGAGATTTCATGCAGTCATCTTTTCTGAAATTAATCCATCTACCAAAAGGAGTGATGTTATAGGCCAGTGCTGTCTAAGAGAAGTAAAATACAAACCATGCATGTATTTTTAAATATTTTACTAGCCATATTAAAAAAATTTTTTTAAGATTAAATTAACCTTAACAATTCATTTAGCTCCATATATGTAGAATAGTATCATTTGAACACGTAATCAATATAAAAATAACTCGAGCTATTTTACTTTCTTTGTACTAAGTTTTTGAAAACTGGAGTGTAATTTACACTTAAAACACATCTCAATTCAACCTCTAGACTTTCATCAGAAATACTGAACCTATACAGAGATTTCACACGTTTCACAGTTTAAAAAGTAAATGCGTTATGTCCAAATTGTTTCCAAACATATTTAAGTCTTCCAGTAACTGAATCAAGTATCAATCTTAAGAATTTACTAAAATTTGAAATTCAGCTCATTATCATAGCCAGATTTCAGGTGTTTAACAGTTACGGACAATCCTGTCACCTGGATTCTTTTAAACCTGAACCAGATTGAAAGATGTTACCTCTTCAACCAGCAAGTCTTTCTACAACACCCACCAGGTGCTCAAACGCTGCGAAGGATTTTCTGCCGCACTACTAATCCTTAAGTTGTCAATACTTTAGTGAGGATGACTTATTAAGCAGCCCTTCCCAGAGACTGCATATCGCTTTTCACTCAGACAGAAAGGTACATCTTGGTTCAAGAAAAGAATGAAGACACTGAAATTCAAAGATAGGCAGTTCCGTTCCAAAGTAAAGGTGGAAAATCCTGACATCGTTACTTCTTTGTCCAGGATCTTAGTCACCCCACAAAAGTTACAGTCATTGTTTATAATGAGCCTCTGAATTTCATACTCAGAGCAGCTGTCACTGCATCCCGACGCTTCGCCTTCCTTCCTCCCAGTCTCCCTCCACAACCTCCTTTATACTTCTTAGAGCACATTCCAGGAGCCCCTCTTTTCAATTCATTCTGAAAAATGCTTGTTATTGTTGACATACCGAAACATATGAATAATTCAATAAACGAATCCCAAACCATCCTATTAATCATTCAGCGGTCTAGGTACCCAAGTTATCCTGAGACACGCTTTTCTGAATATGCATGGGAAGTATCCCCTCTACTTTTCCCCCAAAGGAACCAATTACAAACACTTCAGTTTTCCCTCCCTCTGTCAAAGTTCAGTGTTCCTCCTGCAGCTGATTGAAAAGCTGATCTTCTAAAGGAGCTGGATTCCTAAGATAGTTCTATTTTGAGCGTTCTTCCTGTTCTGAAGCTAAAGTTGGAAGGGCTTAGGTGGTGATGTCATGAAAGAGAGACTGTTGACTTTTACAGAAGGGTCTTCCGCAACTCTGGGGATGCTCATATGGTGGAACCTAGGGGGGTGATGTTCATTTCTCATCTCTCTCCTCTCCCTTCCCTTCCTTGTGAGTCCCAGCTATTATTCAGCAAGCAAGAAAACATGTTCAAATAAGCATGCAAACATATTTACATATTTCACTCAAAAATGAAGACTAGGGAGATGGAAAATGCCTCACTCTAGGGAAGAAGGGTGACAACCTCCTTCTCCACTCTTCATCCCGACCTTCCCAAGCATCTATCATAGGACTAGGGACAAAAAGTGTAGGAAGGACAGCTGGTGAGAAGAATGAAGGGATTATAAACCTAGGAGGCTCGAAGAGGAAAATGCTGTTGGGGATATTCAGGACAGAAAGGGGACCCTTCGGTCCCTTCTCTTCCACCGTTTTCTCCTCCCTTTTGGAATGGCTGGATTTGGGGCTGGGTGTGTCTTCTGCTTGGGAGGCGTGTTTGGCTCTGAAGAACCAAGAGGGGCCAGGGTGGGGCCCAGGGAAAGAGAGCCAGAGACAGGCTGCTTTAGGCCGGATTCTGGGCTAAGCTCTTAGGGAAAGGAAAAAAAAAAAGGGGGGGGGTGGCTGCGAGAAGAGAGCAGACAATTCCATTAGAATACCTGGTAAGGAATAAATAATGGCACTGACCTAAGGAGGTCACCTCTCTTCAATCTAAACCCAGCAGTTAGCTGCTGGTTGGTCGGGTGCAGGTCCAGAGGGAAAAGAAAATCCCAGCACATGTGTAGACTGCAACTTGCCTGGGTCCGAGGATGGATGTGCCCGGTGCAATCAGCAGGTGAAAGCAGCACTTTCTGGTCAATTCTGAGATGGGGGATCAGCTAAGAACTCTGGGAACAGAAGATTCTCTGGTTTTTTCAGCTCACCTCTCCTCCAAAGCGAGAATAAGCACAGGTGTGGTCCTTCTCCAAAAAGGTGGCAGCTGGCGCGCGGGTAGCTGAGTGAAGGGAAAGATTCCGTGGCCCGGGAAGGCAGGGAGAAGCCGCCGGTTCAGCTGCGACCAGAAGCAGGCGACCTCCGCCAAGTCCCTTCCCCCTTCTTGAAAACTGAACAGGACCGGTAGAAATTACAACAACGCATCCCTCCCTCCCCAATACTGTTTCTAATAAAAGAAACAGCCTCTCCTGCCTACATAAAAAACTGCACACTCTGGTTGATGAAAATAAACAGGTGAGCCCGTGGTGAAGCGGGAAAAGACTGGGAATGGGAGAAAGAACGTACAGAGAAATCGAGGCTCCCTCCCTGCACACCTCCTCCCCTCCAGCCCTAGAGAATGTGCGTGGCAGGTTGCAAGCTAAAAATGCCCCCCACCCCCTGCCCCGCGCCCATTCTCCCTCCTACACCAGGGTCCAGCGTCCCGGCCTCGTGGTAGCGGTCGGTCCCCGGACACCGCACGGGGCTCCCCCTCACCCCGGACCGCCGTCGCCGCGGGGACTCCGCTCTTCCTCTCCTCCCTCCCTCCTCCTCCGCCTCCTCCTCGCAGACTCCTCCCGCCGGATCTTTCATGTAAACAACATCCAGGCTCTATTTACAGTCGCCGCCGGACGGCGAGGGACCCACGCCAGCACCCTGGAAGAAGGCGGGGGTGGGGGAAAAGCGAGTGCGCAACATTTACACACGCACCCCGCCCCGCCCCTCCGCGCCGCTTCCCCCTCCACCGGGCCGAAGCGGGGCGCCGGGGGCCACCCGCGCCCGCGTCCAACCTGCTCTTCACATCCAGCCGAGGGCCCGAGGGCAACCGCGCGAATGCCCAGGGGCGAGGCCGCCCCCTCCCACGCACCCCGCAGGAAAAACACATACACAACAACAAATCCAGCCCGGCAACACACGCTCCAAGTCCGTGAGGGAGTGCGGAGCCCCAGGCCCGCCCCATGCCACCGCCCCAGCGCCGGCTGCCTACCCCGCGGCGGCGAACTGCTTGCGGTCTCCAGAGGCGGTCAAGGCAGGCGCCCATCGCTGGGCAGCGGCGCGCCCTCGGGCCCCGCCGCCACCCGGCCCGCCCTCGGCCCGCCCCCCGCGCGGGCGCCCAGCCGGCCGAGCCCCGCGGCTGCGTGTGCGTGTGCGCGCGCGCCGCGGCCAGCCTCGCCAGAACGGCTCTCGTAGCCGCCGCCGCCGCTTCCCGCGCCCGCGGCCGGCTCCGGCGCGCCGCCACACCGAGCCAGGAGCGCCGCGGCCACAGCTCCGCGGCGGCGCACGGGCGCGCACACGGACGTAGACGCTCGGCGGCACGGAGCCCCGCGCGGCCGCTCGCCGCCCGCAGGCGCCCGGTCCCGCGCGCGCCCGGCCGCCCCCGCGCCCGGCCCGCCGCCCCC